GGCCCGGGAAGCCCTTCAGCCGCGCCCCCGGGTTCATCCTGTGTTTTGCTGGGTGCTCGCTGTGTGGTTCCTGCCATCCTGAGGGTGTCAGTTCCCTGAAGCTGCCTCCTCCTCGAGCCTCCGGCTCCACGTGCAGCGAAGGGCACCGCGCTGCGGACAGCAAGCTCAAGAGCCGGGTACCAGCTGGCTCCGTCCTGAAAAATCCCGGCTCCGAAACGTTTGGCCATGTAAAGAAGGCCTGAAGAGGAAAACTTCTGTAATATCTGTTCTTAAAGGAAAAAAAACGCCGTGGGCGCCGTGTACAACCTTATGTACATACGACCCTCGGGCCGGGATGTGCCTCAGATAGATGCGGTGTGCATGGGAAAGAGCGAGGGCTGTGCTCCAGAGCGAACAAAGCTCTTAGGAATGCTGCCTGCTGAGGGAAGTCAGTGTGGCCTTCTGCCTCCAGCACCCACCTTGGGTCTGTATTTGTAGAATTTTTTTTTAATATAATTCATCAGAGTTCTCTCTAAAAGAGGTTCCTTTGAGATGAGAGCCCAGTATATTTTTATTTATCGATAGTGTTAGCATATTAATAAATTGGACTGTTGCAGCTGTTGTGCTCTCAGGAGGTAGCATTTCAGGGAGTCATAGGTAAAAATATTACTCTTCAAGTTCCTTATTCATTAATCAAAAATCTGGGTGATATTATTAAAAAAATAGCATTAATGTTCCTGTATTTCTTGTGGTAGCATTTAATTTCTATGCTAAAGTTTTTCAGTGTGCCCAGTTTAGAGAAAGTCTGAATGCACTACAGCATCACCTCGAATCTTTGGCTGAGCTGTGGTGGTCTTCTGCTGCAAATTATAGCCATCTGAGAAGAGTGGCCTAGGGAAGGAATATTAAATTCTTACCGCAGCCATGCTGTTTCTAGGTGTCTGCTGCTGGTCACAGTCAGGATGTCCGGCTAGGTAAAACTGGTCTGGCTGGTATGGCCAGTTTTATGTCCCTTTTTAAGATTAGTAAAAATATGTACAGTAATCAAAATCAGAAGTTTTCGTTGGTTGCAAAAGTATATGTAACATCATAAGTTGTTTTTGATGTACAGTTTCTGCTGCTCTGTTTCCTTTGCCTTTTACTGTCATTTTCAACAGCTGCTTCTGTGCAGGGGATGAGGGAGCACTTTGATCTCTCTACTTGTATCCAAACTCTGATCCTTGGGGTCTATTGTAAAGATTCTTCTTAGGTACTGCTCAATTATGTATTGATCAGTGAAATTATTAGACCCAGCTCAAGTGGCTCTTCAATAGCTGACTAAAGGTTTCATTGAGGGGATATTTTTCATTGCTGGCCAAATGCTTGGAAAGTTTTGAGGTATTCATGGAATTTTGGATGGCTTGTGATTTCAGATAACTCAACACTTTGGGAGGAGAGTTCAGTTGTAGCAGTCTCCCATGTAAATGTTTTTTATGTACATTTGAAAAGACTGACTTATGAATTTGTCTGTTTATTTTTCTTTAACAGCTGAAAGCTGACGTGGTCCCAAAGACAGCAGGTGAGGCAGCATCTTCAGATTTTCATACTTAAATACTTAAGTTATAGATTGTGATTTTTCAGGAATGAGAAGGTCCTTTTACCCTTTACAACTATTTTTCCATGTTCCATCCCCAGTTGTTATATGGAGAAATATGACAGGAAGTGTTAGTGAGGAGATGGAATTTGTTATTTTTCCAGGTAGTTTCATTTTGCAATTTGCACCAAGACAGTACAGTTCATATACTGGGTTAATGGTGCTGAGTAAGTGTGTTTAAACCACACTAGCTGACATGAAAATCAAACCCCAGAGCAAATGGGGAAGGGCAAATCAAAGGGGTAGTCTTTCTTAGAGTTTCCAAAGAGTATATGGGGTTTTATTTTTCTGGTCACTAGCTGATTAGTGAATTAATTTTAGAAAGTTCTTGTGCTTTAACATTTGTTTCCTTCCTCATCTGATTATTTAGTGGTTCTGAAAAAAACTTTTACTTTTTAGTACCTAGTAGTACTTAAATATCCTTAAAAAAAGACATAATCCTCACAACTGCTATAAAAAGCAAAGGCATAAACGTCAGAAAATGAAACCTGTGACTACAGGCAAAGGTGGGGGGAGTTGGGGAATTGGAGTCACAGCAAAATAAAAGGGAGATGAGATGGAAAAGATTTATGTTGGTACCCCGTCCTGAGGCTAAATAAGGTGGTTTTTTTCTTGGCTTTATCCCAGGGTTTTTTAAAGTATGGAAGTAACTGATAGATTGATAACACTTTAAAGATGCAATCAAGTTTTTGAAGTGTATAATCTTGGACCATGGTTAATCCAGTTGTGTTTGTATTGCCACATATGATGCTGAATATAATACTTTATGCTTTGTTTCCACAGAAAACTTCAGAGCTCTTTGTACTGGTGAGAAGGGATTTGGGTATAAAGGATCCACTTTTCACAGAGTGATTCCTTCATTTATGTGCCAGGTAATGTTTGGGGTTTTAAACATTTTTTTATTAAATTTAATTTTATATTGTTTAGATATTTCTAGAAAAAGACTAGTAGTAACATTTGAAATGGCTCTGCTCTAACCTTTGCTAACAAACAACAAAGAACCGACAGTATGACTTGCATTTCTGATAATTTTGCAATGGCTGTTGCTTAGCTCATCTTTTGTACAGATAAACGTAAGTTATGTGTAGATGACCAGAAGAAGCCTGTCTGAAGGCTTTCTGCTGTAGTAGAGCAGTGTACCTTAGTGTGGGGCAGAGCTGACAACATGGCATTGCATGGGAGAAGCACTTGTGGGTAGAATGACAATCACCTTACTGTTCTCTGTGAGCTGACAAACAACATGTCCATTCCTTATTCCCAGCAGAATAATCTGTTCACAATAGACAATTTAGTATTTTTAGTGTTTTAGTATTTTTTTAATGTCTCTGTAATAGGGAGGGGACAAGGAAACCAAAAGGGTTGCTTGGGGTTGATTTTTGGGGTGATGCATCTGAGATGGATTTTGTTTTGGTTTAAAGAACAGATCTTTTGAAATTCTGGACAACAGCCCATGCATCTCTTTTCTTAAGCAGCAGCAACTAAAATAACAACCAGGCTTTTTGAAAGCTTCTTTTTGTACTGTGCTTGGCAGATGAGCAGGATGGAGCTGCTGTAGTGCACGGAATTTCTGGTGGTCCTCTTTTACCTTAAAAAAGGGCACATTTCAACAATGTTGCATTGTTGAATGGCTTTGTAAAAAATCTGAGAAAATTTTAAGAGAATTTGAATGTTATAAGTAAGCATGCTTTATTTATTAACTGATGAATGTGATAGTCTCCCATCCTCAACTGTTTTTTTAAGCAAAAACCACATCTGTTGGAACAAGAGGCCCGAGTTGTATGACCTGTTTTTAAGATGAAAAAAAGGGACAGGTGTGCTGTAAAGGACCTATTTACCTTGCCTTTCATATGCAAACTAAGGTTCTGTGATACTGAGAGAGGGATAGAGTTTAGAAGTCTTTCTGGGATCAGAAATACAGAAAAATGAAAAAAAAAAATACAAACCCTACTTTGAATTTGTGAAGTTCCCTGTAAGTCTGTTCTGTTTGCCTGCCCTGCTTTGGCCCCCCCAGATGGACTGGAAATGAGGATGCTAGATGGTTGATTATGGTACGGTGAGATAATGAATTGATGTTTAGGAATTACTCAGAGGTCATTGCTGAAGTGGAAATACTGTCATGGGTTTCAGCAATTGTCAAGTGAGAGAAAACAGTAGTGACTTCTGCACTTGCTGAGATGGATTGTTGGTGTGATTCAGGCAGTTGGTATGGCCTAATTGAGGGCCATCATATCCGGGACTCTGCAATTCCAGGGCCCCACACGGCATGTGGCTCATAGCTCTGGGGCTGTGTGGGAGCAGTGTGACACCACCTGTAGGAGGTTACTCAGGGTGACAAGGGGAAGCTGAGGGTCACATGCAGTCCCTGTTGGGTATGAGTTCTCTCTGGCACAGGTGGTGTCACTCCTGCAGAGATGGCATGTGCCTGGGAGCAGTGGTTGGGAGCCACCTTCGCGAGTCACCGTGGCTGCGTTTTTTGTTTGAACCGGTTTTTTGTGCTTAACCTGGGACAGGTGGCACATCTCTTCTGGCCAGCAGCATGGAGTCAGCTAACATAACCTTAACAGCTCTGGTGTAACAAACAGCAAAACCTAGAAATAGCAAAGGGTAATAATGGAGATCCTGACCAGTGCTTATACCTGTTGGAAGAAAGGAGGGGGAAAAAGGAGTTGGGAGGTCTTGCCTGTGGTAATGAACTTGGCGATTTGGTTTTGAGGCCTTTGAGGTGTTTCTTAAAACTACTGCTGTTTGTTGCATCACTTCTGGACGAAAGGCTGGTAACACAGAGAGATGGTTGTAGGAGTTATAGAGATAGAGAATATCAGCCATATCTGGAGGAGAAATCTACTTTTAGCGTGATTATACCTTCATCTGGTTCTAAACTGAGTGGCCATGCTCATCCTTAACCTGAAGAAAATGTGTTAATTTTGTCACTTTTAAATTAGAGCAAGTGTGTGTATTTGCAATAGCATCACTTTTGATATGAAATAGTCCATGTGTGTTAGTAGAGTTAATACCCTTTTGTGTTTCAGGGTGGTGACTTTACAAATCATAATGGAACTGGTGGAAAATCCATTTATGGCAGTAGATTTCCAGATGAAAATTTCATACTTAAGCATGTAGGACCTGGTAAATAAACATTTTCTTTTTACCTTCTGAAGACTATAACCAATAATAAAGCATTGTTTATGAAGATGTGGTTGTAAAAAAATAAGGATTTTTAGATTTGTGGGTCACTTGGTAATTACAGAAGTATCAAAGAAATTTAACAATGTGTTGTCCCTGGCATATGCTTATTTGTGTGGACTGCTCTACAAATATATGCCAGCCAATAAGGGGATTTAAAATTGTTCAGAGGTGAAATTACTGCTTTCATAAGTCATAGACTTCAATTTCTACTTGAAAATTACTGCAGAAGTAAAACAAAGCAATCTGGAATTTCTTATTTAGTAGGTAACGCAGGTATGGCCTTTTAAACTCAAATTAACACCAGAAAAAGCAAAGGACAGGCCATACAGAAGAATATCTGATTGCATTCTATAGTCTCTCTTATTTGCATTGTTACTTCCTTGTCCCAGGAGGCTGCAGCTGTTGAACCACAGGAGAGGTTAGCTGGTGTTAATTGCGTTCAGGGCGTGTACAGCTAATTACTTTTCTAACACTGTTGCTCTGGAACCAGGGGGAGGCTGGGCAGGAGGGAATAATCCAAGGCAGGAAGCTGGCATTAGAAATTACGTGGAGATGCTGTGAGACTATCACATTTAGTCTAAACGTGCAGAGGAAAAGTGTCTTTTGCACTGCATACTTGTTACACCAGTCTAATGAGCTGCTGCTGCTGCTGTTCCAGGTGTTCTTTCAATGGCCAATGCAGGACCCAACACAAATGGATCCCAGTTCTTCATTTGCACTGCAAAAACCGACTGGTAGGTTCCCAGCCCTGCAGATTAACCTCATTAGTTGATGCCTGAATCTGAAGGGTATGGGGTTTTCTTAGGGTTGTTTTTTTTTTTTTTTGTTACTTGTGGGTTGATATTTTTTTGTTTGTTTGATTGGTTGGTTCTTTGTTTTGTTGTTACTTCCGGATTACTTCATTCCAATGAAAAATAAATTGGTTTTGTTACTTGGGGGAGGAAGAGCTGTGACAGCAACAAGGCTGCTATCCCTCAGAATGTTTCTAAGGTCCAGAGCTAAAGTCCTGTTAGAAAGCTTCAGAATGTCACTTTTAGGGCAGTTGAGCTTTTGTCATAGACTTGGTCAGCAGGTGAGAGCTATGAAGATCTGCTAACACTGTCTTTATGTTTTAAGTAAAACTGCCTTTGTGTATTTGTTTTACAGGCTAGATGGAAAGCACGTTGTTTTTGGGCATGTAAAGGAAGGAATGGACGTAGTGAAAAAAATTGAGAGCTTTGGTTCCAAGAGTGGAAAACCCTCCAAAAAGATTGTCATTACTGACTGTGGCCAGCTGTCCTAAGCTTTTGCCCTGCTCTTCATGACAACTTGGATGCTGTGAAAAATGAGTCATAAAAACACCCAAACATTTCTTATGTCACAAGTAGCACCTATAGAACTGTGTTTTTTATTTAACTTGGTCCAACTTTTATACTTACATTGAATAATATTGATTAAAACCATAAAATAGTAAGTGAAGCATGTTGTAAGTGCACCACCATAGTAGTCACACTGGTTTGGTAGAGTCCCCTTGTGTTTTGCAAGTGCTGAAGTCACCCAGGGTGTACCTGACTGCAGTGTTGATACTGTCCTTAGTATTTGGATGTTTCAGCTGTTACAATGGGTGGTGGAGTTGATAGCTGGGGTTCTGCAGTTGGGGGTTAGGTATAAATTGAGAAATGTGGTGTTTCCTTTGGTGCTAATAAATTCTTATTCTGTTGATTGTCTCATCATTTTGAAGCAATACTACTGACCAGTGCTCTCAAGGCTGTCTGCAACAGCACTGGCATTTTCTTTGTGTCTCAGTTAAATTCTATCCAAGAGGTTTAATGAGCGACTGTGGGTTTCTTAAAAATTAATTCTGGTGTAGGGTTTCTTACAGTCTCAGACTACTTTTTAAAAATAAACTCTACCTTACCTGCTTCAGTGGAGCAATTTGACTTTTGGGTTTAGTAAATTGCTTTAGGTTGAGTTAGGCTACTACTGAAGCTCTACCTGGCAATAGGACCTCAACTCAATCCAGCCAAAGATCTCAGGACTTTTATTATTAGGGAACTGTGAACTTCAAGTGTGCTTCTGCTCTGGGATCCGGTTCTGTGAGGAATACAGCTCAGTTCTCAATATATGGCCTATTTTTGTACTTTGAGAATATAATCAGTATAGTGAGCTTCTTGAGTGAGAAATAGGCTTGATTGCCTTTCTGTCATGTTGATCCTGTGAAGTCAGCCCAACTTTGGTATTACTTGCATTATGATTCTTATGTATCATCATCAGTCAAAATTGGTCACCACAGAATCACAAGGCCTAATCAGTGCAGCAAAATGGTTATTGTTGGGGTTTATGCACAAGAAGGAAAGAATTCAGCGGATCAGCTCAAGACATTTCATTTGTATAAAGCAGGATGTTTGTTCTATGTGGCAGCAACAAATGCTGGAATTTCACACCATTGCCTTTGGAATCACTAAGGCTGTAAAGTATCAATGTGGGAAAAAGCACATGATTGTTTTGTGCAATAATGTCATTAGAGAAAAACTGTGATGGCTTTCTTCAAATGTGAATTTATTTTCATTGCAGGATGATAATATGTGGGTTTAAAACTATTTTGTACTGGATGATTTTTGCACTCGGGGTTCCACTTGTGTATGCAAGGTAATATTTAGAATGTAATTTTGCAAAAAATGGAATTGAAAAAGCTTTTCATTCTTTCCACTGTAGCTGCTTAATCAATGTAGTATTTTTTAAATATTAAATTGTGTTGGTTTGGCTTATTTCACTTGGATACAAAACAATTTTTTGGTGCATTCTTAATTTGTATATGAAAATTATTAAATACACTTCTGCCACCGAAAAAAAAAGTCTGCTTCTTTCTTGAAAGCAGGAATATGAGAAGCTGAAACCTCTTGGGCTTACCTGGGCTGTTCAATGCTGTTGACTTTGTGATGGGTATGTGTAGGGGGATCGAATATAAGAAAATAAAGGTAGTGTAGAAAGTAATCTCACCCCTAAGGGGTTGCAGCTGGGCCAATTAGCAAAGATCAGGAGCAGGCCTGACTTGAACAGGTCACAGCTGTAACCAGAGGGAGGAAGATGCTTTAAAAGAGTGGGGTGGCTGAGTGAGAGGGGAGCTGGAGTCAGTGGCTGCTTTGTGAAGAAGAGTCAGTGCTCTGAGGAGCTGCCCACAAGGAACACCAAGAAGGTATGGAACTTTTGTGATACAGAGATAACAGTATGGAACCCCTGTGATAAGATGACAACAGGTCTGATCTGCTGGTATTGAGAAGCCATGGTGTCATTCAGGTGCAGCCAGCAAGAGAGTGGGTGATGGTGCATTGCTTTGTCTCTCACTACTGGGCTAAAATGTCTCTCCTACCTGGTCACAGCACTCGGTGTCCTCCTCCATCCCTGTGCAGCCTGGTGACAGCACTCGGTGTCCTGCTCCATCCCTGTGTGTCCCTGTCCAGCCTGGTGGCAGCACTCGGAGTCCCACTCCATCCCTGTGTGTCCCTGTCCTGCCGGGTCTCCAGCGCTCGGTGTCCCGCTCCATCCCCGTGTGTCCCTGTCCTGCTGGGTCACAGCGCTCGGTGTCCCGCTCCGTCCCTGTCCTGCCGGGTCACAGCGCTCAGGGTCCCGTTCCATCTCTGTGCCTGCCCGGCCCGGGGGCAGCGCTCGGTGTGCGGGCCCCGCTGCCCGCCAGGTGGCGCCCCGCGCCCGCGGCAGTCCCGTCTCGCCGTGAGGGGCCGTGTGCCCGCGGGGCCAGGGCCGGGTGGGTGCCCGCGGGCTCCCTGCGCCGCCCGGGTGCGCTGAGCTGCCCTCCCGCCCTCCTGAAGCCCCAACGCTGCCCTTGTGTGTCTTGCACCCCACTGTCCCTGAGCCGCTGCTTCAGCTCCTCGGGATGAGACAAAAAGTAAAGCAGTGCCTTTCCCAGCCGCGGCTGTACATCGCTGTGAGCTTACTGAAGTGTGATGGAAGATGTTGATGCTGAGTGCATCTTCCAGTACAGTTTTTTGGGGAACTAGTGTTTAGAAATCCTGCATAACTCTAATAGGTCACAGAGGACAGAGGTACTCACTATGGAGAAGTGACTCTGAGAAAAGCAGGGGGATGGCAGGTGTGCTACTGCCATTTTTCACCTGGATGTTTAGAATAAACATCTGTACACTGTCAGAGAGGTTGGCACATCCAGCCCCCCTGTGGAATGAGACTGGGGCACTCCAGGAAAACAGCCTGCAGAGAACTTCACGTGGCTACCACTGATGTGCTTCCAGATGCAACACAAGTAAAAAAGCACACCCTTAGGTAAAGTGCAAGTAAATATACACAGAAAAAATTAGTTTATATTTCAAAGTTGTTTCAACAAACTCACAAATGTTTTTGTTTAGTCTCGTGTTTTAATTATTTGTTCCAGACTTTCTGCTTACATAAATTGCTTTCTTTGGTGCTAGACTGAGGCTATATCTCTTTGTTTATAAAGTGTAAATGCTTTGAAGTCAAGACATTTGAGGTACAAAGTGTTGTTCTCTTTTGTAATGCTGTACACTCTGCTGGTAGCAATATATCAACAATCAGAACCTCAAAGAAGTGAATTACTGAGGGTAAAAATCATTTTACATGACATTTCAAGGCCAATCTGCATGTCCTGCTGATAGCTGAGAAACTGTAGCTGAACAAGCACATTCTACCCAATTTAGAAGTAACCAGGCTAAAAAGCAGTTGACCTTCAAGTGAAAAAGTTTCAAATCTTGATCTGCAGATTTCTTATTTGGGTTTGACTGTTAAAAAAACTGTATGGACCAGCTGGTCACGGGTGGATTTTTGCCCTGGATCTTCACAGCCCAAAACATCAATTTGTTGCACTATTGAACTGAAAACTGAAGCTTGGCAATTGTCCTGAGCCTTGACATTACTCTTCCAGTACCAGCTCTGATTTTTCCAGTACAGCTCTGGCTATGCCTTTTCCTTGCTCTCCTGCCTCCATGTGGTCCCTACAGCTGTCATGGGGGACTGTGACCACCCCCAGCCTGCACCGTGCTGTGGGTGAGCTGCCAGACCCATGGAAGAGCCCAGTTCTTCATTTCCATCCTCATGGGAGGGGACTGAGCATACTTTGCTTGTTGTACCAAAACTGGTTTCCCAGCAGTAGCCAGCTGGGTGAGAGCACTTGGATATCAGCAGTGATTTTTACCTCTCCCCAAATACTCCAAGAGAAGGAGCTCCAGCACAGGTCACTCATGGTGCCTGGCACGGTGGAGAGGAAGGCTTGGGGGAGCTGTAGCACAGTAGAGCTGCTCCTGCAGAGGCAGGTGTTCCCTGTTTTGGGAGGTGAACAGGAGCAGAGAGGTGCCTTTTTTACTTTTGTCAGAGCTGAGGCCAAGGGTGTCAGGAACTGGCGAGGGTGTGATTTAAGAGCTGTGGGGTGCAGGAGGACCTTCACTGTGAGCTCTAAATGGTGGAAGAGGAAGGCAGGTAACTGTGAGGTAGGAGAGGGAACTGTGAGGCCAAGGGTGTCAGGAACTGGCGAGGGTGTGATTTAAGAGCTGTGGGGTGCAGGAGGACCTTCACTGTGAGCTCTAAATGGTGGAAGAGGAAGGCAGGTAACTGTGAGGTAGGAGAGGGAACTGGTTCTGTTACAGTAGATCTGAATGCAGACAAGCTTGTTTGTCTGCAGATGCCATGTCTGTGTGAGGAAGGTTTGAGGGACCTTGCTGCAGAGGGCTGTCAGTACCTGCTGCTTGCTCTGTTGGTGGTGAAGATGCAGCATAGCTGGAAATAAAACTGCTGGTGGTTTTGGCTTGAGTTCTGTGCAATCATATCAGAGGATAATGCTGACTCAAAGTGTTTGTTATTTATTAGCTGGTTAAGTTAAAACTCAATCATTGTTGGGATTCATAGAGTTTGAGAAGAGTGGAGGATAACTTAGTCAGAGGCACACCTCATCATCTCTCAGGAATTCAGCAAAGTGGTCAGGCCCCAAAGGTCCTGGGAAAGAGCAGTATAAATGAGCAGGTGACTGAATTTCAGGCTCTAGAACTGCTGCTCCAGGCTACCTCTCCCCCCTGAGGGAGCAGCTCATCATCTGGATTGGTAGCACTCCATGCACTTTGCTTGGTGTTAGCCTGCATTCACTATGCAGATATATGTTTTTGGGGACTAAAACTCAGGTTGTGTGTAAATGTCAGTTCCCTTCCGGCAGCCCTTGCTGTGAGTGCTTTGGTGTGTGTGTGTGTTTCAGTAGAGCACCTGCTTAACCACAGGGCTCTGGGAGGGGCCTCTCCAGGTGTCCTCCCCCATCCTCACAAAGCACAGGCACTGCACCTGGGAGTGAGCAGCAGCAGGGTGAGGGGACAGGCACAGTGACCTCCCTGGGGGGCTGCTCCTTGGGGCAGCTCCATGCAGAGGCAGGGCACTGCTGGGACCCATGCTGGCACATGC